ATCTAAGAGGTCCAGATCCTTAAAGGATTTAGATTAGCTTAAGGAGTTAGGATTTAGCAAATCTAAACCAACTAAGGATAAGACTATAAATTCATAACAACTTAAGGATTTGGGAGATCTAATCAAAATTCCACTAAGATTGGACTAAATCAATGCAAAATAAAGGCTAGATTTTATTCAAGGGTGGACGAAATATTGGAGGCCCAACCATAGCATCAAAAAAACACAAAATAAGCTTAACTAACTAATGAGAGGCAAGACAAGTTGCACGGTCCAGGGCGTGCCAAGGCGCACGGCATGCGCGCATGTAATGAGTGGTTCTTCGTGAAGGCAGAGAGTGCACGGCCTGGGGGGGGCGTGCTGAATTGCACGGCGTGCGCGCATGTTATGAGTGTTCCTCGCGAGAGCAGAGAATTGCACGCTGGGGCGTGCTGGATTGGCACCGGCTGGTGCGCGCATTATGTGTGTTCCTCGCGAGAGCAGAGAAGTGCACGGTCTGGGCATGCTATCTTGCACGGGCGTGTTCTTATAAGCCTTCAAGTTCAAAGTTACTGGTAGAAAAAAAGTCAAATTTACTGTAGCAGACGTGTCCAAACTCAACATGTGGCTTCAATAATGTGACGGAAACTTAGGTGTTCCCCAATGGCTTCCTTGAACTTATGTTGGTGTATACGATCCATATCACTTTTGCCCTACTGAGGAGGAATTACCTTTTGCTATGCAATGCCCTGCAAACCTTCCAAAGGTGCATGATGTCTCTTTTCTGGATATGGTGGAAAAATTTTATTGAAATATTCATGGCGATGACTTTTCTGTGTTTTGTTCTTCTTTCATGCATGCTTTATAATTATCTTTAGTAATGCAACGATGTTAAAGACCACATAACCTTGTGTTAAATTGGGAAAAATTGTCACTTCATGGTAGTGAGGTATTTGTCTTAGGGCATTAAAATCTCTCAAAAAAAAGGAATTGAAGTAGGACCCAAGGCAAAAATTGAGGGGTAATTGAAAACTACCTCCTCCTAACACAAGTGAAAGGTATAAGAAGTTTCTTGGGCATGCAGGGTTTTACAGGAGATTCATAAAAGACTTCTCAAAAATCACTAAACCTCTTTGCAATTTGTTAGTTAAAGACTGTTCCTTTTAATTTTGACCAAAGAGTGTTTAGATGCTTTCAACATGTGATGCTTTTAACAGGTTGAAGAAGGAGTTAATCTCAGCCCCGATCATCACTACACTAGATTGGACGTTACCCTTTGAACTCATGTGTGATGCTAGTGATCATGCTTTAGGAGCTGTTCTTGGACAAAGAAAAGACAAGAAGTTGCATGTTATTTATTATGCAAGTCGCACATTAAATGATGCGCAATTGAATTATGCAACTACTGAAAAAGTATTGCTAGCTATTGTTTTCGCTTTTGACAAATTCAGGGCATATCTAATTGGAGCCAAAACAATAGTCTACACAGATCACTCAGCCATCAAGTACTTGCTGGAAGAGAAAGATGCAAAACCGAGACTCATTCATTGGGTACTTCTATTGCAAGAATTTGACCTAGAAATTCGCGACAAAAAGGGAACCGAGAACCTCGTAGCTGACCATCTTTCCAGGCTTGAATTGGGGGAAGGAGATACAAGCGAGCTACAAATCAATGAAAGCTTTCCCCATGAGCAACTTCTTCTAGTAGCAAATGCTCAAACCCCCTGGTACGCTGACATAGTTAATTAATTATTCTTGTTTGCAAAATTCCAATTCCTCCTCCCAATTTTTCTTACCAACAAAGGAAAAAGTTTTTTCATGATATCAAATTTTACTATTGGGAGGAGCCATTTTTGTTGAAATATTGCAGTGATCAACTATTCCAGAGATGTATACCGAAAACTGAAATGGAAAGTGTCCTTAAATTCTACCATTCAATGGAATGTGGAGGTCACTTTGGAGCGAACAAGACAGCTGCGCGTAAATTAGAAAGCGGTTTGTATTGGCCTAATCTTTTTAAAGATGCTTATAACTATGTTCGTCTTTATGATCGTTGTCAAAGGTTAGGTAACATTTCAAAGAGACATGAGATGCCCCTAAACAGCATCCTTGAAGTCGAAATCTTGCCGAAATCTTCGATGTATGGGGTCTGGATTTCATGGGACCTTTTCCACCATCATATTCCAATTCAATACATTCTAGTGCGCGGTGGATTATGTGTCAAAAGTGGGGCCAGAGCGCTGTTGCTCTTCCAAACAATGATTGCCAAAAGTGTGGATTGAACTTTATCAAGAAAAATATTTTCACACGGCATGGCAACTCCTAGGGCAATAATCACGGACGGAGGAAGCACTTTTGCAATAGATATTTAGACTCCCTTCTTGCAAAAATATGGTGTCACTCATCGTGTATACTCCCATATCATCCTCAAAACAATGTGGACAAGTAGAGGTCACCAACAGAGAAATCAAAAAGATCCTCAAAACCATCATTGGACTGGACAATCACGGAAGGATTGGTCCAAAAAGCTGGACGATGCTCTATGGGCCTACAAAACTGCATTCAAGACACCTATAGGTATGTCTCCATATCGAATGGTGTACAGTAAGGCTTTTCATCTTCCTATCGAGTTAGAACATAAGACGTTTTGGGCCATTCAATTTCTTAACTTTAATGCAAAGGAAGTTGGTCAAAAGCGATTGCTACAACTAAATATGATGGATGAAATGCGCCTTAGTGCTTATGAAAGTGCCAAAATATACAAAGATCGCACCAAACAATGGCACGATAAGCATATCATCATGAGGAATCTAAAGGTAGGCCAGCAGGTATTACTCTACAACTCTAGACTCCGGTTATTCCCTGGTAAGTTGTGCTCTAGATGGTCAGGTCCATTCACAATCAAGGAAATTTTTCCTCATGGAGCAATTGAAATAGTGGATGGTAAGTCAAAGAAAACTTTGGAGGCCCATTAAGAGACAATTGGTCTATTGTGTGCACAATTGGTCTTGTGTAGCCTGAACTAGGATAAGTGCGTCGAACTTAACGACGTTAAACAAAAGTGCTTGTGGGAGACAACCCATACAATTTTCTTGTTACATTTTCATTCCATTTAACTCTTTTATTTTTTTGTTTTATTATTTGCAAAATTTTCCCAAATTTTCTCCATAATTGTTCTTTTGTTTTAGTTAGAGTTTTTGTAGGAAAAAATGAAAATCTAGAAGCTAGCACGCCCTGGCCGTGCCCCCTAGCACGCCCGTGCCATGGGGAGAGAATCCAGCACGCCCAGGCATGCCTCGCAACATGCCCGTGCGTTTTTCAAAGGTGGTGACACTTGAGAGTCAGAGAAGAGCACGCGCCCTAGCCCGTTGCCATCAACCCACGCCGTTTGCCATAGAAAAGGGAAAAAACACACTTAAGATCAGCGGAACGACAAGCACGCCCAAGGCGTGCCATATAGCACGCCCGTGCTACCCGCAGGCGGTTTTCAACAAGGGAGAGACAGAGGAGAGCACGCCCTTGGCGTGCCCAGTAGCACGCCCGTGCCAACTGCACGAAAAATCTCAACCCAAGGGTCAGAGATAAGCACGCCCTAGCCGTGCCAGGCAGCACACCTGTGCAGGTACGCTTTCTCTTTTGTTTTGCAGGTCAGAAGAAAGCACGCCCTGGACGTGCTTCTAAGCACGGCCGTGCCACGATCAGACCCACTCATTAATTGGCACCCCTATTTAAAGAGCACGCCTTCAACCCCCCTCTTTTCCATCTCGCACGCCCTAGCCGTCACCCCTTTTCTCTCAAATTGTCACCCCTTTTCTCTCAAATTTTCTTTCTTCTTCTCCCTTTTCTCTCAAAACCACCCCTCTCCACACCAAATTCCCATATCCTCAACTCCAACCATGCCTCCTAGATACAAACGCAGCAGACCCACATCCTCCGTTGCTGCTCGAAATCGCTCAACTATGCGATTATCCACGGCTCCTCAACCTCCTTCACCACCTGCGCTTCCATTCGAGTTTGCCTCATCCGAGCAACAAGAAAGGTACACAAAACTAACCCTTCGGCCTATTTTACCAAATGATTCATTGATGAGGCTTGCTTAGCACAAGTGGGGTCTTAGAATATTGTGTTAGAACCTTAGAGATATTGTGTTAGAACCTCTTAGACGGATAGGGTGGGGGCAATTTCTTGATATGAAGGACTTAGTATATGCACCATTAACTCTAGAATTTCTAAATTCTTATTCCTCTTTTATCCAGTTTTTGCCTACCTCTCCCCCGAGCAAGATTCGCTTTAGGCTTCTTAGTCAAAATTTTGAACTGACAGTGCATGAGATTAGCCAAATTTTTGGATTTCCCATAGAAAATAGCCAGATACAAATATCTAGTGATTTTAATGCACATACTACATGGCAAGAATTTACGGGTGAAGTAAATTATAATCCTAGATATTCAAAGGCATCCAAATTGAAAAAACCTTCCTTGCGATACATTCACAAATTTTTGTCAAATACTATTTTTAGAAGGAGTGAGAGTGACGGGGTGTTAAGTTTGAATGAGCTATATTTTCTGTGGGCTATTGAAAATGGGGTTTTATTGAATGTTGGATATTGGCTCTGCCCGAAATTTGCGAGGGTAGCTAGAGCCGACAAAGGGGCTATAATGATGGGGTGTTTTGTGACCCGAATTGCTAGATATTTATAGGTTTGGAACCCGGCTAGGCCAATGGCTAGGCAATCTATGATAGTGTAGAGGGGACGTGGTACCGACTGGATTTAGATGTTTATGATCCACATTGAATTGATCGAAAAAAAAAAAAAAGTTTTTTTCGGGGATGCGTAATCAATAGTAGGTTTGCTCCAAAGGATTGCTTGCTGATGATGCAGGAAGCCGAGGCCGGAGGTGGTGCTAAAATGAGAGGATAACCCTCCCCCTTTTACCTCTTCTTTTGGTGCAGGTACATCCCGGCCGTGGCCCATACATCCGGCGCTGGCCCATCGTTCCAAGGTACGTCCAACATGTCAAATGATGAAGTCCTTGCAAGGATGATGTCTCGAATGGACCTTTTTGACACACACCTTAACGAGATGGAAACAATGATCGCAGATCATTTCCAGTCCATTGAAATTATGAACGGTAGCCTTGATTCTAGGATGGATACTATGCAAGGCCAGCTCCAAACCATTCTCCAGCTTCTGCAGCCACCCCCACAGCCGGAGAATTGACGGATTTCTCACTTATCTTTTGTTTTGTTTATGTTTGTTTTTGTTCTAATACATTGACTTGGTTGCTTTCATTTTTCTTTTTAGTTTGTTGAATTCTTATAACTTTTAGTAGTTTCACTTTCTTAGTGTTTAGTTGTTTTTTTAGCTAAGACACATTCCGCACCCGCTCTATTATATTGTTCATTACAATGTTGGTAAGGTTTCTTCTACTCTCTTACTGCTTTTCTTCTAAATACTGCAATGAGTTTGGGGATTTTATTCACATTGGGGACAATGTGATTGATTGAATTGGGGGAAGGGCATTTTAGCTAAAATTTTTTGTTTCTTGCTTAACATGATTGGAATGATTACAAGAAGCTTGAAGGATCTCATGATCTAGTAATAAGTGTTGAATTGGGTTGATTCTAAATTCTAGTATATTTAAGCAGCTCTGAATTTGGAATTTTGACATAAAAATGTTCATTGATCTAAACTATTTGTTTATAGAATTTAAACACTGATTTTTATGAAAATTATGATATATAGGTGTGTTTTAATCTAAAGATATTTAAACCTTGGCATCCATTGGCATTCCTAGAACAAATTAGAACTCGCTTCGAGACGAAAAAATTTTAAATGTTGCATGTTTTTTGAAAGAGATGATAGGGCATTTTTTTTTTGTTGAAACCCTATAATTAGCTAAACCACCTAAGTCAAAAATATGACCCTTGAGCCAACTTTGAAGCTATAAACCATAAAAAAATTTTCTTTTTTACCCTCAATAAACCGAGCCCTTAAAAGCCAATTTCCAAATTTCCTACCCTAAGTACAAAGGATGTATGATTGAAAGATTCGACTTTTTAATAGAATTATAGCAACAAAAGGGAAAATTTCTCAATTGATTACTAACAAGTTTACCAAAGTAAGAAAAGAAGAAAAAATCAAAAGAAAGAGGCACATGAAAAAAGCAATCAAAAAAAATTCAAAGTTGAAAATGGAAAAAGCAAGGAAAGAAAAGTACCAAAAATATTATGGAAAAGACCTGCCCAAGATGTCTCTTAGGCTAGTAAGGAAGTTCAAAATAAAACACTCCTAGAAACTAGTTAAAATTTTTTTAATTAAAATAGAAATCCTAAAATATCATACATTCTTTTTTATTCTTTGGTCTTACCTTTTTTATCCCCTTTCCTTGATTAAAAGCAAAATTTACACCAAGAAAGCCATTACAACCCAAGATAAAGAACCTTTTGATCTTTAAATTTTATGCATTTAAATTGTGGAGAAAAGGATGACTTAATTTTGCATATGGCAATGCCACTTTGGCACTATCGATCGTCTTTAATTTAAGGTTTGAAAATTCTTTAGATGATTCAGTCCTATTTATCATGAATTGAATACGTATAGTGTAACAATCTCTTTTAAACTTATATTTTTGTTCAGTGAAACATGCTTTATTCAAAAAAATTGAAATCAAGCTTAAGTGTGAAGTAGCATGGATGAACCAATTGATTTATTCACTTGTTTACTAATCATGATATCTTTGAAAGTTTATTTGAGATCATCTCCAACCATGGGTTAAGCTAAGTGTCGCAAATTATTTTTCCTCTAAAATTTAGTTTTGTGCTTGAGGACAAGCAATGGTTTAAGTTTGGAAATTGTGATAGGTGTAATTTATAGTGTTTTTAATTATAGTTTTTATTAAATTTTATAAGTTTTATTTACTTTAATTATTGATTTTAATATTGATTTTAGTATAATTTTGGTTCAAAAGCTTCCTTGATTCTTAAACCGCTTGATCTAAGAGAAAAATGGCCAGGGAATTTGGACAGCAGAGAGAACATTAAAAAGGCCAAGGACACTCAGCCTCTAGCACCACCCAGCCGTGCTAGAAGGCACAACCGTGCTAAAAGCTAAGGAAATCAAGGGAGAGACAGAAGACGAGCACGCCTTGGTGTGTCAAAAGCACGCACCGTGCATTAATGGGAATCTAGGTGGGCATGTCAAATGCCTACACGCCCATGGACAAATTTCAGGCAGAAGTGACAGAAGCCAAGCACGCCCTTGCCTGTGCTATGTGGGCACGCCCTCGCCTTAAGATTATCAAGGTGCATCAGGGTGTGCTTGCCTAGCACACCCCGTGCTTCACTAGCCAGACTTCCAGACTAAAGCACACCCAGCCCGTGCACTATGGCACGCCCGTGCTACGCTGACAGAACTAGCGAGAACTAAATATGCAAATCCATCTTTTCCTCACATGGGCCCGCCTCGTAGAGTTTCCTAAACATACTAGACAAGACCTAGACCTATTTTGGGAGAGAAAGGAGTCCTAATTAAGAAGAAATCAAAAGCCTAAGCAGTCATGATCTCCTATAGAAGATTTTGCACTAAATAAGGATTCTATTTCCTAAAAGGAGTCCGGACTTACCTTCAGGAGCTCTATATAAAGAAGGGAACTTCTCAGTGCTAGGGATCTCGTTTTTTTTGTGCAATTCTCTGCATAATTCTCTCTCTCTCAAAGACTTCAAGCATCATAGATTTGTGCCAAGAATCAAGGAAGCCATCCATATAGTTGTGATACAGTTTTTATTCTAAACTGATTCAGTTTTTATTCCTAAACTCTTCATCTTGTCTTTCTTTTCATTATTGTCTTTAAGTATGATGATTAATTCAAGTATGACTGAGTTTTATTTAATTACTATGTCCAGCTAAACTCTTATACTAGGGATTTCATGTAACTTAATTCGATTCCAGTATATTAGATTTATTTTTCATTGTTCTTGTTATAACTTATTATTATGCTTAAAGCTTCCAGGCAGAAAATTTCCCCTGGATTGAATTATTTCAATAATCTCTATCAGGAGAAGGGTTATTGATATGAAAAAAAGATAATAATTTACTTGAGAATAATAACTTGATGCGGAAGCTATATGGTTTGACTCAAGGGGGGTTTTCATAAATTAATAATTATTAGGTTATGAACTCACAAAACAACCACAAAACTCAAGGATCTGATTTAAGTTTGATTTCACTATTGGAAGATAGGAAATTATACTAGATTAGAATAGCTAACAATACTAACAATACATGGAGAGCTTGTAGTGACTCTAGGGTTTTTCTCCTACTTGAACAATTTAAAATGGATAATGAACTAATACAATAAACTGGATAGAATTAAGTGAAATCAAATTCCCTAGTAAGTTAATTCCTGATTCTTTTCACCTAATTTTGTGCTTGATCTCCTTCTATTTTCCTTTAAATTTTAATTATCTTATAGCATTCTCTCTTATTATCGTTTAAATAATAATAGGTAACTAAATTTTGTAATTGATTATACAATCCTGTGGATACGATACTCTTCCTTACTCTATATTATTGTTCGATTTCGTACACTTACGAAAATCACTGTCAACCATGCATATTCAAAACACGCCTAGCAACAAAGCTTCTCCATGTTCAGGAAGTTTAAGTTATCTGAATCCATCATATCATCAATCATTAATTTAGGCATATCATCA